TTTTGTGTCCTTATTTGTTTAAAATAATAAAGTAAATAAATGTGATTAAGTTAGGATGTGATCAAAGCGTGACACTACAATTTTTTTTAATAATTTTTTATCCTTACATGAAGTTGGGAGACTCAAATTATTTTTTATTTGATGATTTGCAATCTATCAATCTAGGTTCGTTCCAATTTATTTTTTTCTCTTTTCTGCCCGACATATATTGATACGGAAAGAGAATGTATTAATATATATAAATATTCCAATATATTAAATAAAATCTATACCCATAACAATATACAAATTATGCATCATTTAGAGTGATTAAAATAAATCTTCCTTTCATATATGAATTTTTAGATAAAATAAGAATATAAGTTATAGAAATAAATATGTTTACATGTTAAATAAAAATAATTATACGTGTGATTATAAATTATGATAAAAATGAAACAAAATCATATACTACCATGGTCCTTTTATAAAGTATAGATAGAAGATTAATTTTATTTTATTTATAAAATATGTTACTATTTTTTATATTTATCATTGCATTTTTGCCCCCACTAAATGTAAAAAATTATTAAAATAATTCTTTATGTTTTATAAAAATAATAAAATGAAAAAATATTAAAAAAATCGTGAATATCAATTTTGGAGAATTTTCTTACTAGGCCAAAACACTCAAAATATAACTTGGCAAACTGTTACGTGCTTGTATTTTGGGCATATCAAATAATTATTCACGATGCCAAAAGAGAAAATTATATCATATTCCTTCCATTAAAAAATATAAAATATTTCTATCCCAATCACCCCCAATAAAATAATTAACTGTTTACTCTAACACTATTTTTTATATTTATTCTTATTTAATAGAATATTTTATTTTAAAATAAAATATACTCCCTCTAAACTAAAATATAGGGTATTAATAATTAATTCACGGTTTTGTAGTGAAACCTTAATTTTTTAAAAAAATTACATTTTTTTAATTTTATCCTCATTAAATACCTTATATAAATACTTTAATAATCATAATAATTAAAATTTTATTTCAGGGTATGGTGGGAAAAACAATTTAAAAAGTTGTTTAATGGGCTATATTATACTCCCTCTATTAAAAAATGTAAGACATTTTTAACCAAATTTCACCCCAATAAAGTAGTTACCTACTTTCAAACTAACTATATCTTTTCATACTTACCCCTATTAAATACCTTACAATAAATATAAAAGCATTTATCAATAAGAGCATTTTAAAAAAAATAATGATTACACTTCAAAATGTTAAAAATACCTTATATTTTTTAACATTTAACTCCTCAAAAATATTTTATATTTTTAAACGAAGGGAGTAGTTTAGATAAAATAAGTGATTTATTTATTATGAACACTTTTAAAAAATATATTAATTATATTTTAAAATATTAAAAAATTTTATATTTTTTGAACATTTAACTTTTAAAAAATATCTTATATTTGATATTTTTTTAATAAAAGAGGAGGGAGTATATCATGAGTTGATATTAGCTGGCTTCTTGCTGACATTAGGTTTCCTCCTGTAGTCCTGTGTACTAAACGTTAGCCACCTTATCATTAAGATAGATATATTCATTATAATAATTAACAATCTTTTTCATCCATGACGTAAGAGTTTGAAAGAAGCAACGAATTTATTTATACTTTTTAAAACGCCACAACTTGCCGTGTATTTTATTTTATATATGTATATGAATATTAATATAGTGGTATATATACAGATAATATGAAGAATAGGCTTTAATTTAAGGCAGACATATATAAATGGAGCATGCATGATTATTACGTTCGAAAGTCCGTTATTCTGGTTGATTTGACTCGAGTTTTTCTTTATATTAATGAAATATTGCTTCACGCTAAGGTTAGGTTAATCTCATATTTGTTTTAACACAAATTTGCTTTTGATAATAAAAAGAGTAGCGTGTACTTGTTTTCAAAACAAAAACCGCAAGTTTGGTATTAGTCATATCGTAATTTTGAAAGGAATGCTCGCCACTTGGTCTAATGTATATGGCATGGCGTTTACTTGTTGCGGACTATTATGTTTGAGAGTTTAGTATAACAAGTTTTTTTTTTTTTAATATCATAATTTGAGCACGTATGTGTGCCTTGTGTTGTATAAAAATTGATACAAGTTACAATATTATTCACGACTTACAACGTAACAAATCTAACTTTATGTAGGGAAAAAACAAATCCTACCTTATATGAATTAATTCAATATTATAGATAAACTATCTTTATATGAGGTGCGTCACTAATCTCCAATCTTAAATAATATAAAAAAATAACCATCTCAGTGAAATCAAAAGTAGTCAAGACTTGAATTTTTTATATTTACCTACACCTTCCCCTACTCCCCCCTTACCTCTCGAACTAGCATTAGGTGGGGGAAGAAGTTATTATCCTTCTTAATTGTGTCACAAATTAATTTTTTTCCCTTTTTTGGGCAAACAAAGTATTTTGTTCAATAAATGTCCTAGAGGTATCATTGAAAGAATGTAATTAATTAATTCAAAAAATATAAGCTCTTTTTTCTTACAGTTTAGACCAAAGCAATTGTCCTAAAATGTTCTTATATTCATTGAACATGAGATGTAGTATCATACTACTATACTTTTTTTTTTAATAACAAAGAAAAATAAACTATGCAGTAGGAAGAGTGTCCTACTGCATCACAAGGATTAAGTCATATGAAAGAAAATTTAAAAGATAAAATCCAACTATTTACAATAGGGCCTTTTTGATGAGTACATTCGCTGCTTTGTTAGCATTTTTCTAAAGATCCTTTGAACACGTACTTCCAACACAATTCAATAGTACTAGTATCTTTGAAATAATACCAAATGTAGTATCATACTCAATACTATTATATGCAAAAGGTAGTGTAAGCCCGTAAGATATGCATTCTAGCCATGGTTTAATTATTTTTTTAAAAAAACAAAAAATCTGGGATACTAATATATTTGAGAAATCAAGCCAAAAATGTACTTTTACGATAGTAATAATAATAGCAGTAGTAATAGTAACAACAACAACAATAGTTATTATTATTAAATTTGGTAAGAAATAGAAAAGCAAAGAGATATGAATGATGATTGTGATGATAAGAGTGCAAGCTGAGTGCGCGGTGTTTCCCCCATACTTCAAAGGGAGAATAACAAGATTTTAAAAGAATTAATTAATTTAAGTTATATTTAAGTATTAAATTTTAAAAATTTATAACTCAATTTTTTAATTTTACAACTATATTGTGATGAATTTATAATTTATTTTTTAAATTTTAATATAATTAAAGAATAAAAAAATTATTTTTTCAGTTAAAATTTAAACTACAAGTTGCAAATTCATCATAATAAAATTATAAAATTAAGAGATTAAGTTATAAATTCTTAAAATTTAACACTTAAAACTTAATTTGAATTAATTGATCGTTTTATATCTTTAGATGTTCTTCATATTTCAAACCCATCCCCTCACTTCCCAACTAATGTGGCTGCTTCTTCCCCATTTGCCCATCACGTTCCACAAGATTATCACACACACTCTATAATTTATTTATGAATAATTAATTTAATTACACGGTTCTTCATTCTAATTTGAGAGAATCACACTAAGTCCTAAAAAGAATTAATAATAATTAAGTTGTCAATAAAATAAGTTATAAATATCAACTTAAATTTAAATAATTATAAATTTAGAAATTTTAATTATAAGCAAGACATTTAAATTCTAAATATAACTTTTCATTGACAATTAAGATTCTTATTTATAATTAAGAAATATTTATTAGAAAAAATTATAAATAAACCTCTTCAAAATAAATAAATGATAAAATAGTCTTACAAAATGGAATAATTACTCTGAATTCGATATGAACTTATCTCGCTTTTATTTTTTATAAAATTACATTTCTAACTCAACAAAATACTCCTTCAGTTGAAAAATATAAAACATTTTTAAAACGTTAGATGTTAAAAAATATAAGGCTTTTTTTAATCTTTTAAAGTGTAATCATTTTATTTTCTTTTAAATAAATTATTTTATATTAATTTTAGGATAAAATATCCTATTAAATAGGAATAAATATGAAAAGATAAAATTAGTTTGAAGATAAATAACTATTTTAATGAGAGTAAAATTTAATTAAAAATGACTTATATTTTTAAATGAAGGGAGTAATATTAAAAAAAGGGTGGTTGCTAAAACCTAAATTGAAGTTGTAAATAATAATGGTAAAGTTGTTAATATGAGAGATATAATTATTATTACATAGCTAAATTATAGTTATGATCAATTATATTGTTAATATTTAAGCCAAATTTATTAATAATTAAGCTGAAATTGTTAGTATAGAAAACACATTTGTCACTGCATAATTGAACAAAAAAACTACATTTTCTATGTTAACAATTCTATCTTTGTTATTAACAATTTTTGTTTAGTTATTTAAAAATATATTTTTTATTATTTGTCTTAGGATAAAAAACATAATTTCATCTTGACCACAAAAAATGTAATTTTGCAAAAAATTATATCAAATGAGTTTTTAAAAATTGTAAAATAATTATGAAAAAATCACACCCAATCCCTTTTCAAGAGAATTAATTACAAATAAGAATCAATACAAAATGGATTGTTATTAAAATGAAAACATAACTTATTTTTTTAAATGAAATTTATCATTAACCCTTATTTGTGATAAAAAAAATTTGGAGGAGGGGTTGACTGTGATTCTCTCAATAATTATTACATTTTAAATTTTGAAATGCTTGTTTATCATTTATCTATTTCAATAATATTTTTTTATAAATTTTATGTTTACTACTTTTTTTTCAAATTTTTTTAATAATTTAATTGTCATTAATTTCTTTTTAAAGAATGAAGGGGATTAATTTTTGTGAATTATGTCGACCTCAGCTACTGTAGCATGCTACGCTCGCCAAGTAACCTGTGCCACTCCATATCTTCTTCCCTTAAATCTAATCCCTGTTCGGTTCTTCCTCAGCTACCCCTAACCTTTTAAGCCTGATCTTCTCCTCCTATCGGAGAAATGGACTTTCCGGCCAATTGTACTCCTCTCTCCCGTCCACCAAGGCCCTGAGCTCAAACCCATCTTCTTCTTCTTCTGCTCTCGCTTACTCTGTAATACAAGTTATTCCATGCTTCTCCTCTTTGCCTGTCGTAAGGCATACCTTTCTCCTTCCTCACCAAGTTTTCCTGGAGTTTTCCGACTTTAGAATTTGTGCTGATTCCTTGATTTTGTTGTTCTACTTTCTGCAGCTAACGGCAATGGTAGATGGTTACTGTAGCTTTCTTGTTTTAGTAACATCCTCGAGTTTTCTAGAAAAGAAAAGAATTTTGTCAGTTCGATTTACTGTATTTGAATTTGGGTTTCACCTGTAATTGTGAAGGACACTTTTTTCACTAAATTTCTGAAAATGGAGTGAAACTGCACAAATATATAGTGCTTGTCTCAGCCATGCCTCCGACGAAGATTCAACCGATTGATATTGATTCCCAAAAGCTCAGGGAAGCCGTTGTTGGGAACGATTCGGCGAAGCCAGTGTTGAAGTCGCGGCTTAGAAGGCTGTTCATCTTTGACCGGCAGTCTCCGACCGTGTTAAGGAATTCCTCGCCGGAGAAACTTAGCGCCGGCGAATATTCGTCCAACAGTGATGGAGGAGGATCGGAGTTCGAGCCGAGCTCGCTTTGCTTGGCGAAGATGGTGCAGAATTTCATCGAGGAGACAAACGAGAAGCAGCCACCGGCGGCTAAATGCGGCCGGAATCGCTGCAATTGCTTCAACGGCAACAACAACGGCAGCTCCGACGACGAGCTCGACGTCTTTGGTGGTTTCAATGAATCAGTCACCTCTGCATCATTCTGCGATGCCAGCGACGTGCTCAAGGTAAATGCTGCTAACAAATCACATATAGATTTTCTTGCCGTTTATCAGAAACCAAACAAGACAAAAATTTTCCCGAGCTTAAATCCACCCAATTTTATATAATTTGCAGAGCCTGATTCCTTGCGCAACTGTTACCGAACGGAACCTTTTAGCTGACATTTCGAAGATAGTTGAGAACAACAACAAAGTCGTCAGAGCAAAAGATAATTTGAGAAATATCGTCGCAGATTCCCTTTCATCTCTCGGATATGACTCATCTGTTTGTATATCTAGATGGGATAAAACCTCATCTTACCCAGCTGGTATTCTTTCTTTCTGAATCATTTTTCTCTCTAAAATTAAAGTAGCAGAGGGGAAAAAACAGTGAAAAATAAATTTTTGGTTGTTTCTCAGGTGAACATGAATTCATCGATGTGATTGTAGAAGGAGAGAGATTGTTGGTCGACATAGATTTCCGATCAGAATTCGAGATTGCACGATCAACAGGGAGCTACAAGGCGATCCTTCAATTGCTTCCGCACATTTTAGTCGGGAAATCGGAACGGTTTGATCAGATAGTGTCGATCGTGTCGGAGGCGGCGAAGCAGAGTCTAAAGAAGAAAGGAATGCACTTTCCGCCGTGGAGGAAGGCGGAGTACATGCGAGCCAAGTGGCTCTCTGCTTACACAAGGACAAAGCGGACCTGCGACCTTTCGGATTCCGAGAACTCGGCGGCCAAGAACGACGACGTTGAGTGTTCCGCGACAGGGAACGGCGATGGTGAATTGGAGCTGATTTTCAGGGAGAAAGCAATATCGTCGAAGGAGCCGGAGGATGATTCCGGCGAAGTGAAGCCAGAGCCAGTGGCAACGGAGCCGACGTGGAAACCTCCGGCGATAAAACCGAAGAGAGTGGAAAATGGAGCGAAAGTCAGCACCGGATTAGCCTCTCTTCTGAAGGAGAAACTGTAGGAAATTTTTTTGCCATTCATTCTCTCTCAGTTTTTTTTTTAATTAATCCGTTATTTTGAGAGAATTTAAGGAGAAATCGGATAGATAGAGCTATTTCTTTCTTTGCCTTTTTTCTAAATATAAAAGATGAAATAGGATTGCGGAATAAAATAAAAGTTCAACAAAAAAGTAGTAGAAAAATATGTATGCATGATGCATGTGTTTCAGAAGTTGAGTTTGATTTCCTCGACTGTGGGATGATTCGAGGCAGGGGACCGGAGAAAAGAAGTGATGATCAGACATGCTATCGGTATGTGAACATTGTTGTGCTGTCAGAAATGTTTGCCGACCCAATAAAGAGCGAAAAATTACAATAACCTGATTAAAAATGAGGTGAAATTATGAAGATTAACATGTTAGTTTTCCCTCAAATTAAACATTAAATTCGTGGACTGCATGGGATAACAAACGGAGAATTTCAGTTTATGACACATGATTTCTGGTGAATTTTTAAAAAAATTTGAAACTTTATTTTAGTCCAGATTGAATTGAAAATAACTTAAATGTAAAAAAGATAAAAATATTCTCAACTCAAACATTTAAAAAATTGCCAATCATCGTCGATGAAACATAGCTATCGGTGACAGGAGTCTTATCAACAACAACCACTACTGAACCTCCATTGTTGAAGCTCTGATAGCCAGTTGGATCAATACTGATAGTGACCGAAGAATTATGAAGAATTAAATTCTTTAAAAGTGATCAAGGATGGACGTATAACTTATGACCCCTTGGCTCACTAAAAATATATGAACCACCAAGCTATTGAATCCATTTAATTATATATTGCATAAAATTATATATATATATATATATAATAAACTTCATTTTCACTTGATTATTATATTATTTATTAATCACGTAACTTTACTTATTAATACTTTAACATGATTTGTTAATTACTTAACTTTATTTGTTAACTTTATAATTTTCGCAACAGAACTACGTTACTTGTTAATCGCATAATTATATTTGTTAATATCTTAACAGGATTTGTCAATTATTTAACTTTCCTTATTAAGTTTGTGACTCCCGCAACAAAACTACATTATGTAAGTGTACTTATTAATATCTTAATAGGACTTGTTAATTTCTTGAATTTACTTGTTAAATCTATGACTCTTTTAATTGAACTGCATTACTTGTTAATCACATAATTTTACTTGTTAATTACACAGTTTGACTTGTTAATATTATAACAAGACTTTTTGAACCATTGTTTCAAAAAAGTAACTAAATTACTTGTTAATTGTGTAACTTTACTTATTAATTTTTTAATAATACTTGTTAATTGTCTATTGTTATTTGTTAAATAAATATAGAATTTACATAAAAAATTGAGTTTGTCAAATAACAAAAGTGACAACAGTCAAGTTTTCCTTATTAGTATTTATTAAATTGAATACTCAATCTCACACACACGCTGCACGCGGGCACACGCACGCGCACACTTGCACATGCGCGCGCGCAGAGAGAGAGAGAGAGAGCAATACCCTAAAAAATAAATATAATATTAACAATTGAAATTAAATAAATGATAAGCTATATTAAACTTTTAACAAGTATAACTCTTGTCATAATACTTAAGAGGTTTGAAAATAAAATTTATTATACATATAATTTTGAGGGAGTCACAAAATTAATAAGTAAATTTAAATAATTAACAAGTAAAATTACATGATTAACAAGTAATGTTGTGCAATTGAAGGAATCATGGATTTAACAAATAAATTTAATTAATTAACAAGTCCTGTTAAGATTTTAATAAATACAGCTATACGATTAACAAATAATGTAGTTTTGTTATGGTATTAATAAGTAAATGGATTCAATACTTAACAAGAAAAGTTAAATAATTAACAAGTTCTGTTAAGGTATTTATAAGTAAAATTAAGCAATTAACAAGTAATATAATAATCAAGTGGTCTAGAAACAAGTTTTATTATATATATAATTTTATACATCATATAATTAAATGAATTCAATGGTTTGATAGTCCATATATTTTTGGTAAGCCAAGGAGTCATGAGTTCTACACTCACCCTTGGCCAATTTTGGAGAATTTAATTCTCTATAATTCTCCAACTATCACCAATGACGGAGGTCTAGTGGCTACTGTCATTGGCTTTAGTTACTGCCAATGGTACTCCGACTATAATGGTTGGTGGTTTTTTTAATGTTTGAACCGATGGTATTTTCATTTTTTCTGCATTTAAGTTATATTTAGTTTAGTCTTAGAAGATTGAATTGAAGTTTCAAATTCTTTAAAAATTCACAAAAAATTACGTGTCTTTTCAGGTTCTTAATTAAAATTTTCCCTAACAAAAACAAGTCAGGTTTTTAATGGCCTATGGAGCAAGTGAAATAACTATGACAATATGTCAATATTTCCGCCGCTTGGTTAGTGAAGCAGAAGCTATGCTCAAAAGTGGTTTTCTAACAGAGGCTTTTCCAAAGTTGTCCTATTGTCTCATTGTTTCCCTTTCGTTGAATTTGTTACTGGCGATGCTTTATGCCTAAAATGACAATGTTCAATCTTAGTGGATTTTATTGTAAGCATTGGTCACCCACTAAGTAAATGCTGTTTTCAGCGGATTCCAAGAATTTTAAGTGCTTATTTGGATAAACCATGTTTAACATTTGGAAAGCACATTCTAGCAGATGAGATGTACAAAGCTGTTTCGAAACTGCATGAGTAAAAAAATGTACTTTTGAAAGGTACTTCTTAATATAGTTTGAAAGTGGCTTTTAAAAAATAACTCTAAGTTAGATTTGAAATGCACATGAAGGTTGGGAATATTTAATAAGGAGAATAAATATGTATATAATTTTGTAATTAATCATGCTATCCTTATATTTTAAACAATTCAAATATATTATATTTGTGTAATAGAAATTATATATCATCATAAATTAATATCTTTTTTGATCATTGTATATATATATATTTTTTTTTTTTGTGCAAAATTTGGTCATTGAATATTAAAAACATATTTTAAAAGCACAAATCCTCATTAATTTGAATAACTTTCAATTCATCAAATTGCCTTTTAAATTAATGTATTCAAATACAAATTTCATCAATTAATTTTTGCCCTAAATCAGGCTATAGATTGGTGTATTTGCAATGCAATGGACGGATATGCCTTTTGGATAGGGCTCAAAAGACTTATTTATTCATTGTTTGTTCCTTTCTGGTTTGCTGCTGCTGCTGCTGTTAAACGTTTGATTTTGTTCTGGTTTGAATGAAAGTATTTCTTTGGGCGCAGAAAAGTACATTGAAATATTGATGAAACAGAGTAAACTTAAAGTGGCTGATTACATATAATGTTACCATTCCAAATGAAACAGTAGTGTCGATTGGTGTAGATAGACAAGAGAAATCAGACATGCAAGGGTAAACTTAAACCAATGTTTTAAACATAATTGATCGTTTTTCATTTTTTAAGCTTAACGTAACCTTGTAACTTTCTGCACGGGGTCATCTCTGTTATCGTATCTCAAGCAAAACCCATTTCTCAGATAGAAACACGATAGTGAAACCAAGAAAAACGACCAAGGAAAGGGGGAAAAAAGTTCAAGGCTTCTGACGATATGGGCTCTCTTCTTCAATCAACTATGAGCCCAAAGAAAAGAGATAAAGACTCTGCAACCTGACGCTCTGATGCCATGTTGACTAGAGACAGAGCCATGACAAATATGGATGTTATTGAAACTTGAACAATAACGTTGAGTACGCTAGACCTGGACCACACGTATGTATAGCCCACAAACCATAACAACGCCTGATAAGGAAAATATCAAAAACTCAAAATACTAAAAATAACAGTATTAGTAACTATAAATACAAAATATATATTTCTAACACTATGAAAAAAGATACAAAAGGATTACAACAGAATACAGCTAGTTGGTCTTAACATCAATCGAGATGGGGGTTGGTTCATCAAATATACAAGAAAATACCTTATCTGCAGCAGGCAGATCTAGCAAGAGTAGCTGCAAAAGCTAAGTTTTTCCTAAGGTTAAAGTAAAAAATTACATTTCAACATCTAGTGAGCACAGATCTAGCTTCCAAAAAAAATCTTTGATTGGGTGGTCATCTCTAAAATCTCTGGTGACAAGATTAATTGTCTCGATACAATCAGATCTGACTTTCACCTTCTTGAATCTTTAATTCCAGGAGTACATTTAATTTCGGCAATGACAGGGGACATGGGTTCCAGTTTCCCACGGAAACCAATAATCCAGTTTTGCTGCTTTGACGACTCCTTCACAAGCACTAGCCATGCTGGCCAAAGCAGATCCATCCGTCTCAAGTACACAGTAATCTTCAGATTCCACGCTGGGATTTCAAGACTTAACATGTGGATAACCTTGAAGAATTTGATTATCATACATAGCTCTAAACACACTATATTTATCAACATTACCATAGTGGTCATGTTCCTCTTCCTCAAACAGTTTTTTGCACCTCAATCTTCAAATGTCTCAGCACACATGACGGTTTTTTTTGTTCCTTTATTGGCTTTCCAAGTTAGGGCCGACAAGTATATTTTTTTGGGTTCCCATGAGACTAAACTTTGGATCATCCCCGAGTTTTTTTTTCCTTTATTGGCTTTCCAAGTTAGGGCCGGCAAGTATATTTTTTGGGTTCCCATGAGACTAACCTTTGGATCATCCCCCACTTGGCCTCCGTACAACTTACATTTTCAAAGTCCAACAATTTTCAGGGTGCCGCATATAACTATACCGAGCTTTGGGAATATTCTCAGAATTAAATTCCCTATTTTTGTTTACCCAAAAATAATTCCCTATTTTCACCATCAGCTTGGTTCTAGTGGAGGTACTGATCTTAGCTGTAATAAATTAAGGCTTGAATTTTAGTTAATAGAAATACTTATATTTAATATCTGATTGTGTTTTAAATAGAATTTATAGGAAGATGCTTATATCTAAAAAAATTCTCCAATTTCATTCCATTAGTAATATTATTAAAAAACTAGAGACTTTAATTCATACACACGTGGGGCCACTAGATGCTGCCCTAAAAGAACTCAGGATTGCCATGCGCTAGTGAAGTAAACTTGAGGTCCGTCTATGGCAAGCTTTTGAACCACGAGCTAGGTTAGCTTGACGTAAGACTGTTCAAGCCACCTAATAAACCGGTATGCCTCGCTTTGCCTGACCCGTTCGAGCTCATCAGGCTAAGTACTGAGCAAGGGTCACACCCATCCTTACCCAAACATGTTAGTTTTATTTTTTTGTGAATAATATTTATTTAATAATATTATTTTAGATTAAGTGTTATCAAGAATTATATTATTTTTATGATCTTTTTGGACATTTTTTATTATTATAATTTTTTAATCTCTTTTAAAATTTAAAATTTGTTTTTAACTTAATATTATGTAAAAATAATTAACAATGGTTGTTCATATGTAATTTTAAAAAATTTATTTTTGATTCTAATATTAGTTTTATAAAGAGTATATGTTAAATGATAATAATAATATTTTTTCAATAAAGAAAAAAGTTTTATCCATTTTTTGAAAAAAGCATTTGTAAAAATTTTTTAACCTGACATGAACATCCAGGTATTGAGTTGGCTCAAACTTCATATCGGGCAGGGCACTGAGTAGGAATAATGTCCAATTCAACCCTACCCATGTGCATTCTTAGCTGGACACACACGTTTAATCAGGGGCTAAGAAATTGTATTTTTCCCAACCAATATCAACGGTCAATTCTACATTTTCTTGCGGCTCTAAATTTCCTTCAATGTCAGTGTGGGGCTCATGAAAATTACTTCCGTCTAGTCACAATATAAAACATGATTAACTAATTCATGATTTTAAAAAAAAGCTAAGTAAAATAATAATATTTTAAAAAATTATATATTTGTTCAATTATGCTTTTAAATCACAATATAAAGCATGATTAACTAATTCATGATTTTAGAAAAAGTTAAGTGAAATAATAATATTTTAAAAAATTATATATTTTTTCAATTATACCTCATTGAATAACCTATGCAAGTGTTATAATAATGATAAATAAAATTTCAATGTATATTTAAAAAAATAATAAATAAAGTAAAGGTATAGTAATAAAAAAAATAATTATAAAAATTACTCAATGTTTTGTATTTTAAACCAAATCAGGTTTTTGAAAGATACCTAAATTGTGGTTTAGGAGTAGATCGTAAGACCCACATTCGAAGATCAATTTACATTACCAAAGTCAATAAATAACCAAAGATATGGCATCAAATTAAGTTATTAACTTAATGAAAAGTTCTTCGCTCTACAATACTCTATTGCAAATTAAATCATTCCATAGCTGTTCAACTAAAGCAACAAATTTATCCGCACTTTCCAAACTTCACGTCATTGGCAAATTAGAAGGGTCACAGAATCAGTTGACCTATGAGCCAATGGCTTCCACTTTAGGAACATGAACAGGAAACTCATGAATCTCATCAATCCAAGGATTCTTCTCCTTCTTAGGATTTATTGTCCTCAAGGCACGCCACACTGCACTGTTACACTTAAACCCAGACCCAAACGCAATCTGCCACGTCCTATCACCCTTCCTGATTCTCCTTTTAGCTTCAGTGTATGCCAATTCATACCACAACGAACTGCTCGAAGTGTTCCCAAATCTGTATAGTGTCATCCTCGATGGCTCCATGTGCCAATCACTCAGCTCCAAGTTCTTCTCCAACTCATCCAAAACCGCCCTTCCTCCTGCATGAATACAAAAGTGCTCAAAAGCAAGCTTGAAGTCTGGTATGTAGGGCTTGACCTTCATCTTCAGAACTTTCCTAGCGACTAACGTGAAGAAGAAAAGAAGCTGTTCTGACATGGGAAGAACCAGAGGGCCGAGGGTGGTGATGTTGGCTTTTAGGGCTTCGCCTGCAACAGCCATGAGGTCTTTGGAGAGAGAGACACCGATGTTTTTGTTATCATCTTCTTGTTGGAAGACACAGCCGTATGATTTGTCCTCCGAACCTTTGTGTGTTCGAACTGTGTGAACAAGTTGGTACTTGGCATGACGACGATCACAGGAACGATTGGATAGCAGAATTGCTGCTCCTCCCATTCGAAAGAGACAATTTGAGACGAGCATGGATCGGCTGTTGCCGAAGTACCAGTTCAGGGTTATGTTCTCCATGCTTACTACTAAAGCATAAGAGTTTGGATGCGCCTACAAATACATGCACACATAAATGCCCCTAATTAATTAGCTTCAACAACTATATATGTGCCACAATAATGTAACAAGCATTACATGCAGAAATGTCATCCATACATATATTTAAATATATAGATATATACACCTTGATTTTTAACAGATAATTGGCGTCGAAGGCAATAAATTTCTTGAACAAGTCTAGAGAGTGAAATCTTGTCAAGATTAAGATCTAGCAGATAGGCTGTTTAAAATAACTGGGATTGATATTTCAAAAATACAGAGAATTAATCTAAGCATAAAATTGGATATATATGTATGTATATATATATATATGAACGAATTTATGTCTGGAATTATTAGTTAAGAGCAACAAAAATCAGCTACCAACTTCTTCTATATGGCCAACGAAAGTCTACTTCCTAACTTTGATATATATTTATAGTTGGCGACTGGGAAGGTACATAGTATTAAATAGCGGCTAGCATTCATGAAATTCAGATCTGTAAATTGAGGACCAGAATGAACCCAATATCTTCATGTGGGACTCACTAACAAATCAGAAAGTGTCTGCTCATTGGTCATTCTAAAAGTGAATTTCCTATTATTACTTCCTCCGATCTTATTTGTAAATCATTTTACTCTCTATAAAAGTTCAATAATAAGCTTTTAACTTTACTCGTATTATATTTATTTTAATAATGTATTTTCTCTTGCTAACATCTAACGGGTAAAAGGAAAAACTTGTTAAAAACGAAGAAGAATACATAATGCCGGACATAATTATAGCTCAAGATCGATAAGACAAGAAACGACGAAGCAAACCTGCAAGAGCCGTTTGGCAAGGTCAATAGAGATAAGACCAGCACTGCATCCCATACCACCAAGATTATAGCTCAAGATATTCCCTCTCAGCTTATAGTGATTCACGATCATGGCCGACAGAGACGGCGTCGGATTGAACAAGCTACAATTCACCACCAAGATCCCAATATCCTTGGCCCTCACACCAGTCTTCTCCAGAAGCTCATCGATGGCTCCGAACATCACTTCCTCAGCTTCCTTCCTTGCTTCCGCCATACACGGATTAGGTGGCACGCTCAGAACTGCAGGAGGGAAGTAAGTCTTCTGTCCCAAACCAGACCTCTCTAGAATCTTCTTCTGAAACGACAAGTTCTCCTCTGTGAAGGTTCCTGCTTGTCTTGATCTCTCCATGAAAGTCTCCTTCGTGCATATGCGAACCGGGTCAGGCTTGTAACACGCAAAATCCACCATGTAAACACCTCGTGGCCGGCTCATGAAGTAAAAGGTGGCTAAGAATACTATAAGACTCGAACCCAGAGTGACTTGGACGAGATTGAACTGGAGATTTTCCCATAACTGGAGAATGTCTTGGATTGAGAGAGACGATAGATGAGCAGAAGCAGAAAGCAGAGCTGGTATGAGAAAGAGGTACATAGCGTTGGAGATCACGTAATGGTAGCCAAGCTTGACGTACTTGAGCTTCACAGATAACAGAAAGTTGGGAAGCTTATTATCCTTTCTTCCTTGTGGTGCTTCGACAGAAATATTGGCACCTCCAGATTCCGTGTTTCGATTCTTCTGATCCGACATTTGTGGGATGATCGATGATCTATCTCTTGGAAACTTGGAGGTTGATCGGAATTTAACGCCAAAGAAAAAAAAAAAACTAAACTTTTCTTCTGAGATGAGAAAACGGGATGAAGAATTTCAGAAAGCGTAAGTGAAATGAGAACGTGAGAATTATGGGGTACAGATTTATGGAAAGGGGAATGAGTTTTAAAAGTCGGCCTTTGGAAGGGAGCGGGAAGATACAACCACCCCAACGAACTTTTAATTGTCGTTTAGGCCAGTGATCTTCCCAACCAAGAAAAAATGCTGGTTATTACACAATATAAATGTATTCATTTATTTATTTAGTGAAACATAAATAGAAAATGATAGGGTATTTAAGTTTGTCAGTACACTACAATATAAATTCTACAAATATATATGTCTTTGGCAGCTATGAATGGTTGATGAATTGGTGCTTAATTAGTTGATTTGACATTAAAAAAGAGATAGAGGGCGTTAATATATGTGTGTTTAACGTAACATTTATTTTTTTGCGACTAGTGTCTTTTCATCTCTACTTTTTTAAAAAATGTTATTATATATAAGCTAAATTATACATCATTTTTCTGAATTTTAAATCATGTATACATAACCACTTTAACATATGAACTTTATAGTGAACTCCCTCAACTCTTTTATTTTATGCAGATTATTCTATATAATTAATTTTATACATCAATTATCTGCATATAACTTAAAGTTTAGAGGGATTATTCATATATCAATCAAAGTTTGGAGACTTAAATGCACACAAAAATAAAATTTAAGAGAGTATATAATTAATGGATATGGGTTATTTGCATAAACTTGAAAGCTTAAGGATGTTTATTATTAAGTTTCAAAAGTTAATGGGGTTATTTGTAGGGAGAATGATAATTAAGGATTTTGTAGGAATATTAATGCTAAATTAAAAACTTTAGTATTAAAATATGATAAAAGGAGTACTAAAATTTGAGAATGTCAGTATTAAAAAAATTCTAATTTGACATTAATGTTCTTACAAAATCTTTATTGGTCATTCTCCCTTATTTGTATATGGTTCAAAGTTTATGAGAATTTTGTATAATTTAACCTAGTATATATTTAATATTGTGATCGTGAGAAAGTTTGAATTGAATATCATGGGCAACAGTTGTAGCCCATAATTAGCACAGCTGCACAACTTTGCTGGCTTTTGTTAACTAATAATTAGATTAATTAGCACAACTACAAGGACCGAACTACTTTTTGAATCTACAGATTTCTCAAGTTAGCTAGGGTTCCATCTATATTATAAGTGTATACTCCATCTTGTCTTTTATAGTACTTTTTTTTTTAAAAAAATCAGTATTGTCTTTTATAGTACTTCCTAAAAGAGATTGATCCGTAATATAAAATACTTTGTAGGTATTAATTATATTTTTTAATAATATCTTATATAAAATCATTAACTATGAGAGATATATTATTTATTTTAAACAAAATTAATAACTTAATCACTTCTCCTTAATTCCAATTTTAATGAGATGGTTAGAATTGTCTTGTAATAGAAATGGGAAGGAATATATTATAAATTATTTTTAACTAATTTATATTTTCAATAAATTAAAAAATGATGTTTAAAGTACATTTCTTTTTATTTTTATTCTTTTTTAATCGATTGTCTCAATGAAAAGAATTTATCTTTAAAAAAGTCATTAAATTTATCTAAAAATTTAATGAATTGTTAATTTTATTCCTATTAAATATATATATATTTTATAATATATATTTTCCCACTAACATTTAATGGAGGGTGAAAAAATATAATAAAAAAATTAATGACATTACTTAAAAAAAAATTAAAAAAATCATCTCTCTTTGTCTTATAAATATGACTTAAAGAATTATATATTAATTAAGATGAGCATGAAAAATATAAGTTGACTAAAGACTTCTCATTTGTCATAAAAAAGGAGTTAAGAGCAAAAATTAAAAAAGAAAAAATACATCATATTTCATAAAAGTAAGGAAATAATTATTTTTATTGGCATGTGAAATATGGTTAAAACTTAAAAGTCTTTGATACTGCTCTGGAGCGGAGGAAATATATTGTGACAAATTTTTTTCTTGGCCAAATATCGTGACAAATTTCAATTTCAAATCTTAGAAAAATAAAAATGAATATATTTTTCACCAGAAATAAAAGAAAAAGATGAATACGATATTTCGAAATTGAAAATAGCATACGTGTTACATTCAATGGACCTTTATGGCTAGCTTCGTCCAACAAATTCACAACTATTTCTCACTTAAATGCACAAACTTCCCACCAAACTCCCACCCCTGGCTGCCGTCTAACTGTTGCACAGTGTGGACCCTTTTCCATTTTCTTTTGTTTTGTTTTCTTCTGACTTGCATGACCTCGTAAATTTGGATATATATATATATATATATATTTAAGATTAGGCATTACATTGCATATAAGTAACTAGGGAAAACGCAATGTTTGGTCCCTATATATAGTTTCATAGTGTTTTATTTTTAGTCCATGTAATTTAATTTGTTTTCATTGTTATTAGTCCCTCTAATTTCTTCCATCCATAATGTCAGCCTTTCTAGTCATTAATTGTGTTAAATTTGCTAAGGTGTACTTAAAACCATTAAATATTATGCCGAATTGTTAAATTTTGTCCAGTTGACATGTATGACTCAGCATTTGTTGGAATAAAAAAAAAGAAAAACATATTACATTGAGACATGCGTTTCTCTCGTTTAGGTTAGAGGAGAACAAGATTTAGAACTCATAGTAAGTCACAAGAGCAAATGTGAATTGGGTAGAGGAGAAGACTTGGAGAAGACACAATGAACTAGGGCAACGGAGACAACCCAAGTGAGTAGGTAAGTAGCCATTGTTTAGAATTTTTGGATATACTCATTCTGTTTTGTCATCTTCTCTTGATTATGTGTCTTCAACCTAATTTTGTCCTCTTTGGTCCTCTTAAATCTGATTCAGTGCAGATGGCCTCAAGCAATGATATCCTTAACGCACAATGTAGAAGGATGGGTGAAAGATGCAAAAGTGGTGATGAAGTGATAGTGCTTATTGTTAGGATAGAAGAAAAAATTGGTTGAACGTTTGTTGGATACGCTAATTATAAGATAAGTGCAAGTGGTGAATTTTTTCAATGTGAGGATACCCTAATTGGTGTCGAAACTTGGAAGTGATAATGCTTACACACAATATGATTGCTTTGTTATTTTAGAACCATTATGGATGTAACTTTTTTAAGTGGGTGAAAGGACCAGTAAACAATCAAATTTCAGAGGAGACGATCAAGAAGTTTAAGGATGCAAGTGTTGATTTGAGACTGAAGATAAAATTTCTTGAACGTTTTATATATACGATGGCAGTTGTAATTGCTTTTCTATTGTGAAAAGTCATGGCTGTTAAGCTTTAAATTTAGGATTTTTAAGAAGGTTGTAATAAGAATAGATTTATTAGTTTCAATGGGTATGTTTTGAAAAGTATTTAATTTCGTAAGTTAACCGTGTTGTAATACTATATATTTTAAATTAGCTTTGGATTTTCTTCTCCTATCATATGTATATGTTGTTCTGCCCGATCACTTCTGAGTCATATATATGAAGTTGGCATCATCAAAACGTGCCTGTGGGTGACAGGGAGAGAAAGACAAAGAAGAAGGTCCCCTCGAATTGTTCCAAAATGTTGACTTAAATGCCAGCAAAAGTTGTTCAAAAAGTTGGTTTGGTGTGTATTTATTTTGTAAGTTAAAAAACATATACACTCATACAATTAGCTTGGCAAGTTAGAAGAGAAAAAATTGATGTGTCATTCATCCCTTTCATCTTGCTTCGCTGCTCATTTTTCATCCAAATTAAATTACCTAGAAAAGGTGCTCATCAATAATCATATAGCAGCAAGTCTACTTCCAACACCGTTAAAACATCCGTTACACAAAATATCATATCCAGTGCAAAAATCTTAACTACATTAAGTTTCAAGCAGCCCATATTTCCACAACCATCTACCAAAAAACCATCCCATATACAAAATAGTAATCCTTATACATATTGGGCAAATATAATACCATATACAAAAAAGCTACCAACGTACCAAAAACAATAACAAAGTCAGATTTTCCATGTTTTGCTTTGATATTTACATACAAATGCCTCACAAATAACTAGTGTTTAGTACTTTTAAGTAACTCTTTGAACGTTTGAATTAAGTCTTATAAAAAAAATTATAAAAAGTTCAAATCATTAGTTCTTCAATCAAAAATTTGTATAAGTAAATAAATTACATGAATATATAACTAAACTAGTAACATACCTTTTGTTGGTTTGATATGAACACCCACCTTCTCTCTTGCATGCTTCCTTTGTCATCTAATAGGTTTTTCAAAAACTAGCTCTACGAGTATTTGTTCTCTCCCTTAACCATTGCTCAACCTAATGGAAAGTGTTGGTTATTAAGGTCATGAGCAACAGCCACAAGTAATATCCTTCTATATGGACCCTTCAAAAAACACCCATACAACCTAATTATAGGTCTACATCCTATTAGAAATCTCTATTTCACAATACCTATGCACTTATATATTATTTTAAACATAGGTGGTCAGTCTATATATGATCTATCAGTCGCTAAATAAAAAGTTGTCTTTAAATTACTTTTTTTTTGTTACTTCATTACAATAATTCTTCAAACTTTTCATATCATTCCTTGTAATCGCCATCAATTATTGCCTTTGATCTTTTCCATGCCTTGTATGCCTTTTAGATAGACATATTAACCATATAATAGTTCTTAAGTGATGATAATTTCATTCAATTTGATGCTTTTGTTTGTCCTCATCAAGTCAACCATCTTTTCATAAATCCAATGACAAGTAGCCATTTATTTTTTGTTTTTTCAAATGTGTTTAGACTTAAAATTGTTCAAATGATATGTCAATTCACCACTCAACTTTACTCATAACAATTAGAGTCGATAATTTGGGCCAAGCCCGACAGGTCAACCCAAACCCTCCCGAAAAATAATAATTTTTTTATTGTTCGGCCCGAATAGGCCCGAAAAAATTCAGGCTAAACTCGAATAGAAAAAAAATAAATTTTTAAAAATATATATAATATAATAAATATTAATTATTTTTCAAGTTTT